CTTGATGAGTATCCCTTCAAGAACAATGTTTTTGGCCACTCTTTTTTTCCACGAGCCATACGCGCTTGGAATGCCCTGCACCCCACCTTGTGGACACAGCTGACAGTTGACGAATTTGTTAATCGAGCGGGTGATTGAGTGCTGTCTTTTATTTAGCCGTGAATTCCTGAATGGATGATGTCACAAGTTTTAACTCTGTCTTTACACTTTCGTTTTGTATTTGTTTTTGCTTGCCCCAGCATTTCAGCTGATGTTTTTATTCCTAAAGATTTTTTGCCTATCACTACGGCAAATTTTGCACTATATTTGAGATATTCGCTTGCATCATGTATTTTAGTCTGTGTGTTGCTTGTTTTAATCATGTACAATGTCACACCACTCCTGTAATAATCCCATCACGGGATTGACAGTATTCTGAATAAATAAATGAATAAATAACCAATATTTCTCCTTAAAAGATCATTTATAATGTATAGATAGTTTGTCTGTGAACATGGCTCTTTGTACGTATTGCCAATCTTGTATGAATATTGCAAGCTCGATATTTTCTGCCAGCCTTTGTTGCTTGCTGCACCATTGTACTTTCTTTCGCAGAGTTTCTTCCCGTTTCTTGCCACGTTTTTTTATTGGCTACATATAGATATTTCATACGTTTTCCACTGAATATAATATAGATAGAGAGAAAGAAGGCACAATGACGATATCTGCAGGCACGCGACTATACGGAAGCATTTGGAGACACAGCACTGACAAACTCTACCGAATATCAACATTTCTAATGTCTCTTGAGGAGAGCCTATTGCCAAACTCGTAAACTAGAAGTAGCTATAAAAAGGCTTCGCTGCCGGGTGCCGAATATAAATATCTACAAGCACAGGTCTGCTTGTAGAAGCAATGTGCGCATTCTGTGATGAACTGAAAACAATTCTTTTCGACCTGTAGGAGGTTTACTACAAAACGAAAAAATCGTTTTATAGATACCTTTCCATGACATTGGATTGGATTTATGGGTTTTTGTCGTTTTGAATTTTGGAGTCTACATTTCTGAATTCTCAAGTGCGAAGGTTTCTCATGTGCGTGGCTGTCAGGCCCTATATATATATAAAACTAATCGGTTGACTAACCAATCAGTATTCTCCTAATGTGTCCACAACTATATGTAGCATAAAAATTAAAGGGACCTCTCTAATGAGGAGAGTAGTCTTTTTAAATAAATGAATAAAGTAAAGAAAGCACCATATTTTCTAGGTCATTTTGTAACTTTTTATTATGTAACCTCCTATATTCTGAAACTTCATGATATTTTATAGAACCACTCAATCCTTGGCCCATCTGCCACAGTGGGAAAGTGCCACAGTGAACAACAACAACCTAGGTTGGCTCTTATACTGCCTCGTCCTTCACTCTAGTTTCCCATGCACCTGCGCACAAGATGCGCTCTCATTCATAAGCTCGGTCATGACTGTGATGTAGCTTGCAAACTGCGAAAATGTATGTCGCCCCCACAATCACTGCTCAGTGGGGGTCCTTGCCCATATTGGTTCGGCTGCGATTAGGTGTATTGAAGTACTGGTGTTTTGCAGTGGTCGGCGCTGCCTAGTGAGGGAAGGTCGTAGCTGCCATGGCTGCTTCTGTCGTCGTATTTCAGCACATACTGCACGTGCCTTCGTAAAGGTTATTCTGGGGCCGGTTCCTACAGATGCTTCGCATGAGGGGTGTTTTCAACCTATTTTAGCGACGTTATAACGTGGGGTGACTTAAAAGATCAGTGGTGTGCAGTACTTGCGCCTTTGCGTTATTGTAGGGCGACCATATAAGCTTTCTTTCGCTGGGTCAGAGGGCTCCGATGAACATTCTAGCTGGTGCTTCACGTGTGCTAGGGGCCCGAGAAAGAGCACGTTTTGGATGGGCAGAGACACCACGTCGAGGTTGTGCCTCACCTCTTCCATTCATTAAATATATTGAGTTGCCAGGGAGGGCATCAAAGGTATCAGAAAGAGGGCGAAAAACAGTAGTCTCTGGGTCACACTACAGAGGCCACGATTGTTGTTGCACACATTTGTGCCTTTGCAAGGTTTTAACAGCGTTTCATATGGTGGAAATTCATGTCATGCGAAGCTCGCACACGGAAACAGCCGAAATCAGTCACTAGGAGGCGCCCCGCATTTTCGCTGCCGCCAAATATTGGTGAAGCAACGAAAGCCGAATGACACATTAGTAGATATCTGAAAGAACACGGGGCGAACATCAAGTCTAGGAGGCAGTGGTGGCAGCAATAGCTAGTGAACAATTTAAGACACCATTCATCTTTGTATATTGCACAATTGAGATAGACGTCACCTTAGTTTAGTAATATTTGGTCATTCATTTAGCACGTAAACAAGAAGTACTGGCGGTAACGAGTGGCGTTTCATTGAATTGCATTCATTAGCCCTTTCGAGCCCGAAAACACTACATACGGGTGAACACACTGGTTCTGAATTAGTACGATAGGTATAATTGTTGACAAATCAAACAAAACGAAGAACAAAGAATTGTAGCAATGGGTATAAAAAACATTCAACATGTATTGGTGACCACCCACTGGTTAACCTAATCAGAGGTTATTTCTTCGCGAAAGCTTTCTCAATCCGAGCAGAAAGCAAAGGCGGTAGGCGGCGCGTTCCAGAAGGTTATTGCACGTCCGAAAAAGAAGTTATTTATCGCCGCTGTGTGACTTCCCATGTGTCCAATGGGACATAGTAGGTTATTATCAATGATGTTTTTACATGCGGGATATGAAATGTATGTATAATGTGACTATATAAGCAGTGAAGTAAGCAAAGACGATCATTGATACAACGTGATTCAAGGACTGCAAGCGATAGCGTACTTCTCAAAGCAGTTATACAAAAGTATGGTGAGTATTTGGGTGATATAAAACGTGCTGCGCGGTTTTACACTGTTCCGATTTCATTTGTAAGATATCATTCCGATAAGTACCAAATGTCGATAGTGCCAACTGTGCTAACATTTTGTAAACATTCATGATGCAACTATCTGAACATAAGAAGTAGGCCAAGAAGCAGACAAATTACCAGCTGTGACTGCCAAGCTTAATAGCGGTTCATCGCTAAAATCTAATGCCACATGTATGATTTATGTCAAATCTAACTTCATTCCTCAATTAGGCGCGTACTTTTAACCATTTCTGCATGATATCTTTATTTGTGACCGACTCGGTCAGCTGGAAGCGCTTCGTATTGATGCTCATCGCGTCTTGTGCGTACACCGTAGATAGTGAAAATTCCCGAAGCCCAGAAGCTCCAATAACACGTATGCAATTTTGGTCGGTGCAATAGGCCTGTATAGAGGTGGTATACAAAGTGGAACTTTTCTCGCCGCATGCCGAAAGTAAAATTTAGTGCATTTCAGCTTCCTACACCATTTCACTGTTACCCTTAATTGATACTGAGGTGTTCGACTGTGAAAGAATTGCCAGAGTTGCGTTTGTAGCATGATGATATCAGGTTGTAGCTGTTTTCTAATATAAATCTTGAAAGGGTTCACTTAGACGCCAGGCCTCACTAAATTCTCAACAACTAAGATGCAATACATTGTCATTGTAGCTATGCACACCGACACCACTGGGCTAGTAAACATCACAACGCATCGCTGAAGTCATATTGATAATTTAGGAATTTTAGATACAGAACACTGCAGGTTGAAAACAGAGCCCCTGCAGGAGTGGCCTCACGAGATACAAACACAAACACTTTCATATAAAAAAAGAAAGCAATTGTCGGTAAAAATACGTAGCAGTAATGAATAGGTACGTGCACGAGATGTAAACATTTATGGCAGTTGTGATTCACAAACATTGAGGACTTCATTAACTCCGCATAAAAAAGTTGGCTGATTTCTCTTGGCATGTTTTGACTGAAACATGTGTTTCTGTACATTCTAGAAATAAACAATACAAATTGTTATGATTTCGCAAATTGTCAAGTGTGCGTTCATTATCAGTCCATCATCCGCCTTGGGTTCACCATGTCACCATCACCCAGGTTGTTCAGCAAGCCACCCACCAATATGTTTTCGTCCCCTACCATTTCCCACAATTCCCACTTTTTTCTCACCTAACAATTCCCACTATCCTCATCTTTAGCCTACCGACGCCCCCAATCAAAAATGCAATCTGGCCACGACCAGCAAATTGTGCCACTTTTTTCTACTCTCGCCATTTTTGGCATATCAGATCGTTCGATCGATACGTGGGGTTTAACGTCCCAAAACCACCATATGATTATGAGAGACGCCGTAGTGGAGGGCTCCGGAAATTTCGACCACCTGGGGTTCTTTAACGTGCACCCAAATCTGAGCACACGGGCCTACAACATTTCCGCCTCCATCGGAAATGCAGCCGCCGCAGCCGGGATTTGAACCCGCGACCTGCGGGTCAGCAGCCGAGTACCTTAGCCACTAGACCACCGCGGCGGGGCATTGGCATATCAGCCTGAAATATATTTCCTTCTGTATATCCCTATCTTAACATCGTTTTATGAATAATAAAATTTGAGTTGATCTGACATGATCTCTCTTTGCGACCATTTTTGCTTTGAACTACTGTTGCCACTTCGTTGACTCTTATTATTTACACCATGCCCCCAACGATATCAGCATTCACAAGCACAAGTTTTTCAAAATGATTTATTGCTTATTGAGCGGGGACATAATTGTATACCAACAACATGGTTACTTGAAGCTACATTAGACGTGCATACACGAGTTCCCAGACCACTATCCTATGTATTTCTCTAGAAGTGTAGCCTCAGAACTTTGATCAGGACTGTGCGTCACCAATTTCAGGAATGTGCCGATTCACCCTTTTTTTATCCCTACTTGACTGTATAGAAATTAAATAGTGTTGATTGTCCCTTCATTAAAATGTTTTAATTTTTTCCTTTGTTGGAAGTGTCCACCTATATTTTACAGAAAAACACGTCTGGTTTTCTTTACAGAACAGTATTGGATGCGAGCCTATCTGCGACAGCCCGTTACCTCTAACAGGCTTATACTCCAATTTTCCACAGTTGGTACAGAATATAAAAGTTCTTCGTCCTGAGGGACACTTGTGCCTTGTGAGTAATGAATTTTTATTCAAGATGTTAAATTGGATACATGGAAAGCGGCTGAACTGCTTCAAACAAACGCACAAAGCCAAAAATAATAAAGCGGAATAGAAAATAGAGGGCATCACTTTTATTGATTTATCTTCAAATAATTTATGAGATTGAAAGCAACACAATTGAAAGTGATAAAAATAATATACGTCGTTTTACGTCTCAAAAGTATGATTTCATAATTAGTGAGGCTGTGGCAGAAGAACGGTAAAATACTGATCACGTAGCGTTTTATAACGCAAACTGACATTGCGCATCTCACAGGCTTCCACACTTCAGCCTCCCCGGAAATGTGACTGCCTCAGCCGGGATTAAAATCGTGATCTTCGCGTCAGCAGCAGAGCCCCGTATGAACTGATACACACAGGCGAGAACAAGCTGAAAAAAAAGCATGACACAACCACGAAGTGAGTCACGATGAGGGGTAGTAGCAGGGGATAATAATTCGATGTTACTGCAAATCAACTGTGACATCACCAGTCAAGCATGTAGTGAAGTGCCAACTGGCGTAAAGTTTCATACAATGTTTATTTATTAAAACTTGTATGCGGAGCCTAAAGTTGGCAAAGACGAGGTCTGGGCACGTTCTCTTGGTTGCTGTTGGTTATTTCTAGTCACTGTATATGCACCGTAGAGCTTATCAAGATGTCAAATAGTGCACAAGACAGTCGTGTGTTATCATTGTCATCATGTCCAGCATTGTCAGCGTCATCGTAATGGCCTACTTTGAATACTTTGCGTGTGCTCTGCCATGATGCCATAAATAGAATGTGTGGTCTGGAAAGCGTTTCTTCTTCATTGTTATCATCAGCGGCGGCTACTGCGCACAAGGCCAAAGCCAACGGACAATTCTCTTCCACAAGAAGCGACGCTCCTAAAAGGCACTGCAGCCTGTTTGAGTTGGCACAACATCGTCCGGGTCACTTGGCCCATAAAAGTTTTGTTGTGGTACTATGGTGGTAGTTTTTTGTTAAAATGCATATTTTTTCTTTGTGTTACTACAAATGAATTAATGCTTTATATCATGTTTCTAAAAAAAATAGAATATTGGTAAGAGGGTTGGGAAAAGAAGTATTACAAGGAGAAGGAGAAGAATGCATTACTTTTGAATTGAATCACTTTTAATACATTCGTACAAAAACATGCGGATGCGTAGCCGGCATGGCTAGTTGAGGATCCGCTATAAACAAGGCATGTTGTTAAATAGCGAGTAAAATATTTATAAAGAGAATGACATCACAGATCACCAAATCAAATACGGTCACGTAGGGAAAAAACAGAAATAATGTGACGTGTACATACATTTCCACAATGTTATTGTGACAACTGGTAACTTTCTAACAGAAAGAGTTGCCTGAGTGACTGATTCATATATAGCGGACATTTATAAGTGTAAACATACTGTTCTAAATTTTAGCAGGAACAAAGCGTATTGTTCGACGGCCATAGACGTTGTGCATCATTGAAAGTTAGGGTTTTGTTATTTGGCCTGCCGAGTGTGACCTCTGGGTTTTAACAAAAGTTATGCGTGAAAGGGCACACTCTCATTCATTATTTTCTGTACTACTACTGCGCTTTTAAATTGCCTATTCATATTATAACATTAGGTTGATTGTTCAGAAATATTCAGCCTATAATGCATTCTTGGGTGCTGACGCTTTTGTGCCCCAGCAGGTATTTGTTAATTCGTTATGTCCGAGCAATATGAGGCATATGTGAACAGACCACGTGTTTGAGGCATCAATTTTCAGTTAGAGGTGAAAACCATGTATTTGTTTTTTTTTTTGGTGACAACAGCATATTTTAGGGACATTAGACGCAAAAATGTTCGTCTGCCTTTCTCTTTCTTTTGAAACGGGGTGTTGAACAAGCAGGAGTTCACTCAGTGAGCGAAAGAGTTATTTAGCGCAAGAGCTTGCAATCACAGCGCGTCTTCTTCTTTTCTCTACTCTAGCTCCGTGTCCACTGTCGTTACAATCACCCCCGGGCGACGAGGGAGCCATCCTGGCGACCTAAGGACAGGTGTACACCGAAGGGTCATGGTAGGGCTTGAGCCGAGAGACGTGTACAATTTCTTGTCCCCGACGGCGCTTGTCCGGAGATGCATTTAGTGGCTCGACAAGGTAGTTGACAGGGGATGCTTGGCGTACAACACGATAGGGACCATGGTACCTGGACGAAAGCTTGATGGATATTCCTGGAGGAGTAGAAGGACTTCCCAGCCACACCAGTGAGTTAGGAGCAAAGCTCATAGGCATGGTTGACACGTCTTGGCGATGTTTCTGGTGCGTCTGGTCGTTTGACGTGAACGCACGAGCAAACTTCCGCCATTCTTCAGCGTGTGCTGCTGCTCGTGAAATTGTTGTTAACTCAGAAGGGTCCGGTCGATAAGGAAGAATAGTATTCATTGTTGATGATGCCTCGCGTCCATACAGAAGGAAGAAAGGCGAAGTGTTGTAGGGATATGTCACAAAAAGCAGTATGCTATCCCAATTTCACTGGTCGGATGAAGCGTACATGGCCATCATATTCCCAAGTGTACGAATAAAACGCTCTGTCATCCCGTTAGTTTGCGGGTGATAAGCTGTGGTAGTGCGGTGTAGAATGCAACACTCACTGAACAACGCTTTAATGGCATCGGAGAGAAAAACTCGGCCGCGGTAGCTTACTAACTCCCGAGGTGCTGCATGCCTTAAAAGCAGGTTTTGCAGTATAAAACATGCAACGTCTTTCGCGGTAGCAAAAGGTAACGCAGCTGTTTCAGCGTAGCGCGTTAGGTGGTCGATAGCGAGAATGATCCACCGGTTGCTACTCGAAGTATAGGGAAGCAGACCGTAAAGGTCGATTCCGATACGATCGAAAGCTCGTTCTGGACTTGGCAATGGCTTCCAGAGACCGGTAGTATGTTGAGCGGGCATCTTGCGTCGCTGGCACGTAAGGCAAGACTACGTAATGGTGACCGAAACGGTTTATACCGCGCCAGTAGTACCGCAGCTGCAAGCGAGTGTATGTTTTTCAAAAACAGGCGTGGCCACATAGCGGACCATCATGCAACGTGGCGCAGATGTCAGAGTGGAGATGTCGGGGAATAACGAGCAACCACATGTGGCCGATCGAGCTGCGGTTTCGGCGGTAAAGCAGGTTATCCCGAATATCGAAGTGTTGTCCTTGACGGCGAAGCGTCCTGGAAACTGAACCGGGCGTTCGGTTTGAGAGAAAGTCTAAAAAGGAAGAAATCCAGGCATCTTTGCGTTGCTCAGAAGGCATGTCCGAAGTGCTGATGGCCAAGGCAGCACTAGTGCAGATAGGCGAGCAGACAGGCTCTGAAGCCAACGGTGAGCGTGACAGGGCATCGGCGTCGGAATGCTTCCGGCCAGAACGGTAGATAACACGGATATCGAATTCCTGTAACCGCAATGCCCAACAAGCTAGCCGATCATTAGAATATTTTAGATAAGATAACCAGCAAAGTGCATGGTGGTCTGTCACAATATCAAACGGACGTCGATATATATAAGGCCGTAATTTTCCGATTGCCCAAATAAAGGCGAGGTACTCCTTTTCAGCGACACTGTGATTTTTATTGGCTTTACCGAGGGTGCGGCTCGTCAAAGCCATCCATGCGTTGGGCCAGTATGGCCCCTAGCCCTACACCACTGGCGTCCGTATGAAGCTCCGTGGGAGCAGACGGATCAAAATGTCGGAATATGGGAGGCGTAGTGACAACCCGTCGGAGTTCCTGAAATGCATCACCACACGCCTGCGACCACGCTGACAAATCAGAACTTCCGGCAAGAAGATTGGTCAATAGGGCGGTAATGGAGGAAGAATTGTGGACGTAGCACCGGAAGTACGAACATGGGCCAATGAAGCTTCAGAGCTCTTTGATGGTGGTTGGTTTTGGGAACGCCGTGACTGCATTAAGTTTTTTAGGGTCCGGAAGAATGCCGTTCTCAGAAACCACATGGCAAAGGATTACAAGCTTGTGAGCGCCGAAGTGGTATTTCTTCAAGTTAAGTTGAAGTCCCGCCGTGGAAAGGCACGTAAGAACTTGCTCGAGGCGGCTGAGGTGGGTCGCAAAGTCGCTCGAAAACACCACAATATCGTCCAAATAACAGAGGCACGTTTTCCATTTCAGACATCGCATGATGGTATCCATCATCCTTTCGTAAGTGGCAGGCGCATTGCAGAGGTCAAAAGGCATAACGATGATTTCATAAAGTCCGTCCGGTGTTAAAAGGCTTTCTTAGGGTGGTCACCCTCTGCCATGGGCACGTGCCAGTCGCCGGAGCGTAAATCTAACGAAGAAATGAATTCTGCTCCTTGTAGGCAGTCCAAAGCATCGTCAATGCGAGGCAGAGGGTATACGTCTTTGCGCGTTATTTTGTTGAGTCGTCAGTAGTCAACGCAGAATCGGCTGGATCCGTCTTTTTTTCTTTACGAGAACAACTGGAGAAGCCCAGGGACTGTTGGAGGGCTCGATGATGCCACGTTTCAACATGTCCTTCCCTTGTTCGTCGATGGCATGGTGTTCAGCAGATGACACATTGTACGGACGCTGTCTCAGCGGGGTTTGTTGACCGGTGTCATTACAGGTGAACGACCACAGAGGTTCGGCCTAAGCCCTACTGGTCATGATCGAATGAAGAGTGAAAACGAAGTAGAAAATCTATAATCTCTTGGCGCTGAGTGGGTGCCAGCGCAGAGTCGATGGCATCCGAGAATACGTCCAGGACATCATTAGGCGCGTTGGTAGGAGTGACAGCAAAAATTGTGAGTGAAACCATAGAATCGGGTATAGTAGCTGGAAGAATGCACTCGTAAGGTTCGTAGCTTCCCAGGAATTCTCCTCGTAGAAGTGATGACGGGCTGTTTGAGGAATTGCACACATAAATGGCAGCGTTACCGTTGCGAAAAACGATGACGGCAAACGGGAGCATGAAATTCGGACGGCACGTAGAC